CAGGGAAGCACTTATTCCACTGAGCCATCTCCCCAGTTCGCTTCTCTCTTTTCTTTTTTTTTTTTTTTCGGAACCAGGGATCAAACTCAGGACCTTCCACTTGCCAGGCAAGCACTTATTCCACTGAGCTATCTCCCAGCCCAAGACTGCTTCTCTTACCAGCATCTCTTTTAGATTTGGATTTTGGTTCCAGCTTCACTGCTAACAAGCAGAATAATTTTTTTTTCCACACTGTGCCGCCCCCTTCAGTGCTGTCAGCCCTGAGCAGAATAATCTTGGACAAGCTATTTACATCTGCTTAATGATTCAACCAGACTAAATATCCCATCGCTGTTAGGTTTTTTGGTTTTGTTTTGTTTCTTCAGTTTATTTATCTTGAAACAGGGTCTCACTATGTAGCTCAAGCTGTCCTCACATTCTAGGCAGTCCTCCTGCCTCAGCCTACTGAATGCTGAGATTACAGGCATGCACTATTACGAATGGCTCTTTCAGTTCTTTCTGAAACTAAAAATATGCGGCTTTCATGGTAGAATCAAGAACTCTAAGCTTCCTGCTAAGCACTTTGCTGAGCGCCTTGCCAGTTTTCCCTCTAATTCCAAACTAACAACTCGAGAATCTGGGGGTGAGGGATAATCAGAAAACAATGAGGCACACCTGGCAGACTGGGAACAAAGAAAGAGGAGGAGCCAAGCTACCCCTGGGACCCTGTGCCCAAGGCAGCCAGTTTTCTACTATCCTAAAGGCCAACCCACATCTCTGTCTTTACTAAGAGAAGGTTTTTTCCTGCTATTCTCTGGGAAAGGAGTACCCTGGCTTCCCTCACTAGTTTCAGACTGCCCGCCCACAAGGGACCAGCCACCTTTTCCCTGCTCTCACATTAGTCCCTCCTGTCATTCAGTTTCGTGGTGGTGAAAACTCGAGTTTGCCCTTACTAAAGGTTCTCTTCTGTCTGGGACTCCACCCTCTGTAAGACGTCTCCTGTTGCCCGGACTCTGTCTTCCAGATCTCCCCTCCCCCTACGCTGGACTCCAGCACAGATGAGAAACAGCTCGCTCCCTACCAAAATCTCATTTGTTCCTTTCTCCCCCTATCCTGATAAGAGGACCTGATGCAAAAGCTTGGGGGAGAAAAGTGGACTTACCCAAGATAAGTGGCACAACGAGGATGGCTGTGAAAAGGACATCCATTCTGGGTTTTGCACGTCGCTGTGCAAGTAAAAAGGAAGTTACACCGTTTCCCACCAAACTTTCCCCGCCTCCCCCACTGGCCCCGGCTGGGAGGGAGCTTCAGGGGCTCGTCTCCCTGGGGCAGGATGCCCCGCCTACTTGCTGTCCCTATGTTCCGTGACTGTTGGTCCTCAGCTTGAGCTGCCCAAATTCAGAGAAGCAGAAGTCCACTTTGGTGCACATTTCCTCACTGAGCTCCTCCAGGTATAGGGTAGGCCTGTGCAGGAGGCCCATTGCTACTGCCAGAAAAAAGCCCACCAATAAAATCACTCTCTTTCCTTTCTCTGTCACAGTCCTTTAGAAAACTCTACCCTCCCTCTTGCTGTCCCCAGTTTAACATCACCATTCAAAGTTGCCTTTCTCAGTGGCTTAATCATAATCTCTTTCATCACCAAGCAAATGTTGAGAGGAAGAAGTGAACATTTTTTTTCTGGACTGAAAATAGTGCCTTTCTGCCCGTTTTGGCTATGGAGGATGGGAGTCATGTTTACCCATCATTGTTGGACTCTCAAAGCACCTGCTGTGCTGCTTCTGATGAAGATCTCTCGGCCAAGCCTAGTTATTTCCTCTCTGTGCAGTGCTGACCTGACCTCCCCTTGTTCTCAATGTCTTGGACACAGAAAAGAAGGGAGGATGTAGGTCTGAGTCTTTTCCCTCTGTCCTATGCTGTGCCTTCCTCGGCACACTCCATTCAGGTCTGCAGTAGCAGCGTTCTCATCCTTCTCTCTGCTTCTTTATTTCCTGTTTTCAGTCAATTCAATTCAGAAATAGTAACCTATGTGCTAGGTACGGTGAGCTAGGTCTAGTCTGCAATTCAGAGCTCACAGGCAAGAAGATAACAGTTTTTTTTTTTTTCAAATGGATTTGATGAATATCTCTCTACATCTACTATGGACCAGACCCAGTGCAATCTGGATGGACACACCCGAGAACAAGATAGGTAGAATGTGCTCTCAATGTCAGGAGATGCTGTACCCATAGCCTACAGGGGAGGCTGGAAGAGCTGGCCCGCTGCTGTCCACTGCTGGGCTCAGGAACAGGACACACAATTCTTGAGCAATGCCCACAATGCTGTAGCCCTTTCAGCCTTATACAGGAAAGATATGGTTGATGACTATGAATCAATTCTTCAACCTTTTTCTAGAATTTCCTGAAGAACATGTAAAACATCTAGGTGAATGTAAATATATTTATTAAATCATAAATCACCTCCAGCAAGCCTGGGTCATTTCCATTTCTATAGCTTTTTGGTACTTTGAGTACACTAGGAAAACTGCACACTTTCCCATCCCAAAGCTCCTTTGCTTACACATTCTCCTAAAAAACCAACCTCTTCTCCCTTTACCTTGTTTTCTCTTTTCATTTTTCAGAACATAAATAGAGGAAGTATGCTATAAACAGAACTGACTGGCAGCGGGTGTGGCAGTGGGGATGCGTGTCACTTTCCTTCAGCCTCATCGCTCTTAATTACTTTTGAAACTTCTAATTTCCTTCTATGCTGCTTCCTAACATTTTCCCCAGGCCCATTTGGCTGTTCTCTTGTTCTGTCACTGCAGATCACAGATGAAGGGTGTAGCAAAATATGGCATTCTGTGTCTCCCTTAATGGGAGACACTGTCCAAAGTGTCCCTACTTCTAAATCTATACTTCTGTCCCTCAGGCAGCAGCTCTAGTCCATTTCCTTTCATTCAAGTAAGAACAATAACCTTACATCCCTGTCTCCCCCCACCCTCTATCCTGTGCTCTTTGTATTTGTCTCTTAAGAGTCAAACAGGATCTTTCCTGTCTGCAGCGTTTTAAAAAGAGAAAGGATAGCCCAGCCTGGTGGCGCACTCCTGTAATCCCAGCACGCTGGGAGGTTGAGGCAGGAAGATCCCAAATTCAAGCTCTTGTTGGACAATTTAGCGTTTTAGGCAGACCTTGCATATAAAAAAAAGGATTGTTATCATTCATTCCCATAAACCGTGGCCAAGGTGCAAGAGAATCCGTGAATCAGTGCTTCCACCAGATTCTTTCCCTTCAAACAGTTCGAGCCACTCCCAGGACAAAGTCGAAGCTTCAGATCACTGCAGACTACAACTCCCAGCTGGGCGCGCCGCCCCGCCTCTGCCGTGGCAGCTCCGCCCTCGCTGGTTCCTCATTGGCTTTCCGGGATGGGGATTAGATGGGCTGTGGCCATGGGGCTGAGGCCCGGGTTTGTCCCCTTCTCGGCTTCCGTAGACGAAGTCGGACGGACCTTCGCCTGGGGTTGCTGTGCCTCCCCTCCCCTTCCCCGGGGTTCGGGGGTGACATTGCACCGCGCCCCTTGTGGGGGTCGCGCCACCACTCCCCACACAAACTCCTCAGCTGGCAAACTCCCTTCGTTTGTCTCCCTTGGCCGGGCTTCCAACCCTTTTCCCAGCTGCCCCGCCATGGGGGCTGCAGTGTTTTTCGGATGTACTTTCGTCGCGTTCGGCCCAGCCTTCGCGCTGTTCTTGATCACGGTGGCTGGGGACCCCCTTCGCGTTATCATCTTGGTCGCGGGGTGAGTAGGAGGTCGTACAGAGGTGGAAGAGTGTGGAGAGACAGAGATGCGGAAGGGGTTGGAGGAACTGAGGCGAGCCTGGGAGACTGAGTTGGTGGAAATAAGTCGATGTGTAGGTTGGACGGGGTCGGATGGGAGATCTGGGTGATTTGCCTTTTCCCGCAGTTGGTTTTCACCTTCCAGGGACGCACAGATTCCACCTACACGCCTCCCGGCAACGTCAGAGGAGGCCCGAGGCCGAGACTCCGGGAGGGGGCTGGGTTGACCTGGGCCAGCCGAGGAAGGATCCAGGAATGATACCTCGTCCTTCTTGCCCCCACACTCTGACTCTCACCGCTAATCAGATTTTTCTTCCTCTACATCCAGATTCTTACAGATGAGTTGCCTACCCTATGTGATCCCTGTCTCAGTCACTATCTGGAAGTCTACCACTTTTCATACTCTAGCCCTGGCAGCCCCCCCCCCCCCCCATTTCTCTGGGTGCCCTCACACTTGCCTGTCTCATTGCCTTTATTTTTTCTCTCAGGGCATTTTTCTGGCTGGTCTCCCTGCTTCTGGCCTCTGTGGTCTGGTTCATCTTGGTCCATGTGACAGACCGGTCAGATGCCCGGCTCCAGTATGGCCTCCTGATTTTTGGTGCTGCTGTCTCTGTTCTTCTGCAGGAGGTGTTCCGCTTTGCCTACTACAAGCTGCTTAAGTAAGAAGATGGGGAGATCTGGAGGGGAGAGAGGTAGAGGATTGTATGGTGGGAAGTGGGGCAGAGCCACTGGTTGGTGGTTTGGAAGGAAAGCCACTAAGGGAGGACATTAGAGTGAAAGGACCATCCCAGCCCTCCCTTATGTTTTCCCTACCCCACCCCACCCCAGGAAGGCAGATGAGGGGTTAGCATCGCTGAGTGAGGACGGAAGATCACCCATCTCCATCCGGCAGATGGCCTATGGTGAGCCAAGGGAGAGGGACTGAAGAAGGGAGTTGGACAGTCCCCTCCCCTAGGGAAATCTTTAAATAACCCACATGTTCTAAGTTGTGTCTTGTTTTCCTTCATACTTGACTTCAAGGAGAGGTGGTTTGGAGGGAGAGTAGGTGTGGGAGAATTGTTAGTAGGAATGGGAGGGGTTGCTGGTGATGAGGCTATAGTGAGCTCTGACATTGACAAGACCTTCCCTCCCCCCAGTTTCTGGTCTCTCCTTCGGTATCATCAGTGGTGTCTTCTCTGTTATCAATATTTTGGCCGATGCACTTGGGCCAGGTGTGGTTGGGATCCATGGAGACTCACCCTATTACTTCCTGACTTCAGGTAAGGCTCACTTCCAGTCTTGCCTTCATGCCTTATTTGTTCCTGGCCCTGATCTCATTTATTGGCCTTCCCTGGGAGACTTCTTTGGCTCAACATCTCAGGAGGCTGGGAGAAGATCAGGGATGTATCTCATCCCCATCTCCCTCCCTGCAGCCTTTCTGACAGCAGCCATTATCCTGCTCCATACCTTTTGGGGAGTTGTGTTCTTTGATGCCTGTGAGAGGAGACGGTACTGGGCTTTGGGCCTGGTGGTTGGGAGTCACCTACTGACGTCAGGACTGGTGAGTTGGAGATAGGGGCCTGAGTTAGGGAGAAAGCCTTTAATGGTGAGTGGGATGGGGGGAGATATCTTCACTTCTGAACATTTATCTTGGGTGGAGGCAAAAAGATGAGTCTTGAGAGGTGTGTCATATCAGCTGCTCTGGGGGATCTGGGGGTTGGCATTTGAATGGATTGGTTAAACTGGAATGCAGAGCGTGTGAGGTGAGCAGGAATGGCAAAAGCCTTTAAGGGACTTGAAAATCAAGTCTACTTAGATACAAGGTACTGGGCCTCTGGAAGGAAAGACTGGGACATTTGGTTATATACCTGGACAAATTTTGGGTCAGGCACAAAGAATATGTGGATTAGGCAGAGGGAAAGTCTAACCTCTTTTCTATGGTTCCTCTCATTCACAGACATTCTTAAACCCATGGTATGAAGCCAGCCTGCTGCCCATCTATGCTGTCACTGTTTCCATGGGGCTCTGGGCCTTCATCACAGCAGGAGGGTCCCTCCGAAGTATCCAGCGCAGCCTCTTGTGTAAGGACTGACTACCTGGACTGATCGCCTGACAGATCCCACCTGCCTGTCCACTGCCCATGACTGAACCCAGCCCCAGCCCAGTCCATGTCCCACGTGCTCCGTCTCCTTGTTGGTCTGTCCTGCCACCTTCAGGGTTTTGCTTTGTCCATTTGTGACCTTTGGTATCTTAGCATTACCAGTCAGTGACTGGTGGGTTTGAATCTTCACTTCTCCCCACCACCTGGGGACCCCTTGTTGTCCAGGACTCCCTGTGTGTCAGTGCTCTGCTCTCACCTAGCCCATGACTCACCCCGCTTCCCCTCTGCAGGCCGACGGCAGGAGGACAGTCGGGTGATGGTGTATTCTGCCCTGCGAATCCCACCCGAGGACTGAGGGAACCTGGGGGGGACCCCTGGGCCTGGGGTACCCTCCTCCTCGCCCTGTATTTCTCCATCTCCAGTTCGGGACAGTGCAGGTTGCCAAGAAAAGGGACCTAGTTTAGCCATTGCCCTGGAGATGGAATGAATGGAAGCTCAAGGTTAGATGTGTTCTGAGATTTCCAGTTCCCTCTCCCTGGACTGGACTTGCTGGTCTTTTTCTCAGGTCTGAAGGAAACCATTTTTGGTGTGATAAAGACCTCAACTGCCTTTTATTTTTAAATGGGGGAGGGGAGGAAAGAGGTATACTGAAACTCTTCTAATCTCCTTGGGCTATATTTTCCCTCCTTCAATTGCTCCTCATGGCTGGGCTTATTTCTATTCCTTTTTCTCTTAGTTCCAGACCTGGGGAGAAAGGAAGGAAGTGCATGTTTGGGAACTGGTATTACTGGAACTAATGGCTGTAACCTCCTTGACCACCAGCATCCCTCCTCTCCCCAAGGTGAAGTGGAGGGTGCTGGGGAGTTGGCCCACGCCCGAGCCTGATACCCCTGGGGGGGTCCGACTACTGTGGCATCACAGGGAAGGAGGGCAGATTTTTTTCTAGTTTTTAATTGGGGTGGGGTGGAGGGCAAGGGAGGTTTTCTATAAACTATCATTTTCTGCGAGGATGGATTGTCCCATCCTTTTAATCAAGGTGATTGTGATTTTGACTAATAAAAAGGACTTTATAATTGTGGGGGGACTTGGTTTTAAGGAAGGGGTTAACATATTAATTGAGATTTCTGCTCTCCCATGTCTCTTGTTCTGCCTCCTTCCTGACTTGGCAATCACTGATCTCCAAGCAGAGTTTTGGTGCCAGGAGAGAAACTGGGTTTGGTGGTTTAACATATCGGATGCTTGAAGTATTTCCCAGAAGTGGATCTCCCTTTTCAGGAGTGGGTCGAAAAGGAATTAATCATTATGCTGCTTTTTTCTCTCCTTTACCCATCTGTAGCACCTGAGGGATTAAGGAATTCTCTTACCCTCAAAAGACAGGCCAGAATGAAGGTCAGAAACTTTTAATTTCCAAATATATTGAGCAAAAAATATAATCTCGGCAGCAGCCCTTTTTCCTATGGGGAGAGCCTGCAGCATATCTAGGAGAAGGGATGATATAAAGGTGAAGAATGAGCGGCTTTGGGGTACATTCTCAACTTCAACAACTAAACAAAATTAGTTTGCCCTCTGCATGAGTATACACAGGTCCCTGGTCTCCCACATGTTTTGAGAAACTGAAGACTCTGCTGTCTTCTCAAGAAGAACTGGGGATCTTATCTTTAGGGTGGGGGGTGTCCAGAAGAAGGAAGGGTGTCTGCCTACTGTTCCTAACTTTTCTGACCTGTCTGCACTTCACTGACTCCCTGACAAGTGTAAGGGGAAGGTGTGCGTGATGTCTGAGAGGGGAGTTTATGTCTCCGTGGTGGCTCGAGCTGAGGTGAAGACCACACTCTTGCGGTTTCCTAGCCTCTTCCTCCTGGAAAGAGATTGATATGGGAGTGACTAGTGAAGCAGATTAGGGATTGACTAGAATATTCTCTAATAGAAAAGGACAGTAGGAATGAAAAGTAGAACCTCACCGAATCTTTCTAGCGATGAAATAAACAGCCAGAAGAAGGCAGAGACAGCCTAGCAAGATTCCCACACCTAGACTCAGCATTTCACCTGGGGGAGATAATGATGGAAGGTTTCAGGCTCAGACTAACAGGCCTCAGGCCTTCTTGCTAGGGACCCCCACCGCACGCCTCAGGGCTGTCTTACCTGTAGTATACATGGGCCCCACTGTAGGGGAAGAAAATGTGGATCAATGGAGTTTAAGATTCCATCCCGGCTGGAACAGCCTGCTGCTGAGACAGTCACCTGAGTCTGCAGGGCTTGGGCTGGTTCCCAGTCCACATAAGAACTGGAAATCTCTTCCTTCCTAGGGGCTCACTGGTTCCCACCCCTGAGTCCCCAGGTTTCCTATGGGAGCTCTGCACATTCACCTGGGACGAAAGAAGCAAAGATAGTCCGCTGGTTGAGAGGCTGAGGAGCTCGGTAGTTCTGGACAAGAGCCTCAGAGGGCTCATCTTCTGTGGAGAACAGTGTCTGCTGAAGCCTTTCCAGCTGAGTAGAACGGTGAAGAGTCACTTTGGGGGATGGGAAGGAGTTTCACATCACAACAGTGTCAACTCCCCCACCCCCACTCCCCACTCACCTGTCCTACTGAAATCTGGGCCCTTCTGTTGAAGACTGTCCAGAGTACACTCTGGTAGCACGGGGGTGTGGTGAGTGAGCCATTGTAGCGGAAGAACTGGTCCAGCTGTGGGGGGAGCAGCTCTCGCACGCTGAAGGGAGGCACTGAGGTCTTCTGATCTGGGGAGGACAGACTTGGACTGATCGCTCCCTCCTTGTGCTTTAGCTGTTTACCTAGCCATGGTTCCTCAAAGAAAAACCCACTGGCCCTGGTTCATTGTGTTCTTACAGAACTTTGTAGATCAGGTATTTTTGCGTTGTTTTGCTTTAATTTGCTGAGCTATCTGGCCAGCCCAGTTTGTATGTATGTATGTATGTATGTATGTATGTATGTATTTGGAGACAGGGTCTCAGTATATAGTTCAGTATACTTTTCACATTAAGCAACGTCCTCAGCCTTAAAAAAACAAAACAAAACTGGGGCTGGTGAGATGGCTCAGTGGTCTAAAGCACCTACTTAGAACAAGCTTAGCAAAGCACAGGGACCGCGGTTCAATCCCCCAGCACCACATGCCAGCCAGCCCCGCCCCCAGGTGGGCTAAGCTGGCCACACACACACAAATAAATAAATAAAATTAAAAAACAAAACAAAACTATTTGAGATAGGGTCTTGCTCAGTCACCCAGGTTGGGTTTGAGCTTGGAGATCCTCTTGCCTCCATCTGTCAGAATGCTTGGCTTATAGGCATGTGCCACTATGCCTGGCTTGAGGTCAGTTTTTTTTTTTCCTTTGGCAGAGCCAGGTATTGAACTCAGGTCCTTGTGCTTGCCAGGGAAGTGCTTATTCCACTGAGCCATCTCCCCAGCCCTTTAGGTCAGTTTTTGGTTATTTATTTCTTTATTTATGGCTGACTCCAACTACCCTGAAGGGGATTGATGTCTGTCCCCTGTGCCTACCTAAGCTTGCCTAAGCAGATGCTTTAGACAGCTGAGCTATCACCGGCCCTGTTTTACTTATTTTAATTTTTTTTAAAAATGTATTTAATATAGGGTCTCACTACACAGATTGGACTCCTAGTGATTCTCCTGTTTTCAGCCTCCCAAGCGCTAGGATTACAGGCACCCACCACGCCTAGTCTCAGTTGCCCCTCAGTGCACTCTGGGGATGGGGCTGGCATGGCTTGTGGTGCCAGGGAGGGAACCCTGGTCCCTGTGCTCTGTCTAAGCAGGTGCTTTAATCTGCTGAGCTATCTGGCTGGCCCAGTTTTATTTATTATTTTTTGAGACACGGTCTCAGTATATAGTTCAGGCTGGTCTTGAACTCACTATGTAGTCCAAGCTGGTCTTGAACTTACAGTGATCCTCCTGCCTTAGCTTCCTGAGTGCTGACATTACAGGTATGTGCCATCATGCCCAGTAAGGTCAATTTTTGAGTTTTCCTAAAGTCTAATTGTTTTTGCTGTTACTATAGATTTTTAGGGCTCACCTTTATGGCTTATTTCATGCAGATGACTCAGAATGTGTTCATAGCCTGGATTCTCAGCCTCGCCCACCTGCAAGGGGATGCAAGGAAGAGGACCTTCATGTATAGGATAAGTGGTCGGGGTGGGTTGCTGCCCATTTGGGGAAGGAGGGCAACAAAAAAGCTCTAGGAGATGCAGAGGAAGCAGAGTGGACTTGAAGCAATTGGAGGCCACTGACCTCAATTAGGATGCCCAGGACAGCCAACCCCTGAGGCTTCTGGGCAGCCTCACTCAAGCTGTCATAAGACTCAGAGTCATAATGAACGATGTGGAGCTGAGAAACGAGAGGAAACTGAGTCAGTGAATGCTTTCCCACCCCTGTAAGGCCTCAGCCCAGCCACCACCGTGACCCCAGCATGCCATAAATCCACCTCCCAAAGCTGGGTCTTAACCCCCCACGATGACCTTTTCTAGTGTCCACATCTTGCTTTTCCCAGGACCAACTGTCCCTGTGTTGTCTTTGTGTCCTAGTCTAAGTTCTTTGCTCTCTGGTACCTCTGCAGCTGTGGCTTCACTGTTGATCTGGTGCTCTGAGCCCCCTGGGGATCCTTTCTGACCCCAGTGCAGGTGGAGCTGGGCAGCTACATACTTTCGGGGCAGTCCACCCAGATACAGGGTGGGGGGGAGAGAGAGTTGCACTGTGAGGAAAAGAGTAAGCTGGAGTTGGTTGAGGAATGTGGGCCATGTCCACCGTAGTTGCCACCTCTTCTTGGGATGCTTGGCCTTCCTCTTCTTCCTTCCCCAGTGACCTAGTTTCACCCATGACTATGCTTTCTAGCATAGCAGCCTCTTTTCAGTGATGTTCAAGTCAGTGTTAGCTGACTTGTTTAGGTCAGTGCCAGTGAGCCTGATTGTAGACATTCAGTTCCCAGCTTGGCTACAGAACCCTGATGACCGTTCTCATGTCTACATTGGTGGATGCAACTTTCCAAGAATTCACAACTTCTGAGAATATTTTTCTCAATTCCTAAGGTTTGAACTAGAGCCCAACCCTTTGAGCCTGGGCTGTCCTGTTACCTGTGTGGCCATTATTGTGCAGGTCCAAAGACTCAGTGCCAAGCTGGTCATATCCGTGGGGCTGTAGAGCAGGCAGCTCAGGGTCGAATGTCACACTGTCTGTCTGGATATCAATGGGGGACTGGGCATCGCTTCCGCACTCAGGGTATGAGGATGGCCAGTGGTCCTGACCGTGTGGGCCTGGTAAGGTTACCATGGACATTTGTTCTGCCCTTAAGCCTCGGCCCCCTTAACACCCCCCACCGGTAACCCATCTGTGTAGAGGTAAAATGCACATCCATCCACCAACTAGGCAGGACTGGCTGACCTCAGACCCACTAGACCTCATGCTGCAGTTCTGACCTACCCAGAGGCAGGGGTGGTTCCCAAAGACCCTGATGAATGGGCAGTGGCGGCCCTTTTACTTACCTGTGTGAGGACAAGAAAGCTGAATGAGGGGAAGAGGAGATGGATAGAAAGCCTGAATATCCAGAGAGGTAGGATTGGAGAGTTGGAGTAATAAAATGAGAAGAAATCAGTGATCCTAGAGAGATAGGTTCTCAGGGGTCCCTATCAACCAGCGTTGCAGTTCAGGTGCCCTGACTGTCATTCACTTCATGCTCCACGCTGGACTTGTTTTGACTCTGGAGTTCAGTTTAGTTATTAATCAGAAGCTCAAGTGGATTGAGTTCCACCTCCCCCAAGATCGCAAACTGGGGGCTGGGGAGATAGCTTAGTAGAATAAGTGCTTGCCTGGCAAACTCAAGGACCTGAGTTCAATCCCCAATTCCGCCAAAAAAAATCTCAAACTGTCCCACCAGTCTTCCTCACCTCTGACTCAAGCCCTGTCTGGACTCCAGAACTGAATCAGGGCTCTTGGGGAAAAGTAGGACAGAGAAAGGGAAAAGGTAGCCATAGCCAGAGTTTATCTCCCTATCCAGTTTTCTTTCCACTCCAGCTCCCTCACTCCCACATGGATTTACTGGGGACTCGGCTTTTATGCTGAATCAGGAGGTGTGGGATTTAATGATTAGAACAGGGTCTAGGAATCACATATGCAAAACTCAGCCCTGGGAGCATTGGAGGGAGTATGGTTCGGAGCTCAAGGAAACTTTCCTACTCATAGGGGAAGCCCAGCTGCAGAGATGGGGCATCAGCAGGTCAGGAGCTCCGCTCTCACCTTCATAGGTCCAGTGGTGGCCTGCAAAGCAGAGAGCAGTTGGGGTTACAACCCCGCAGCCGCAGCCGCTAGCCCGCCAGCCCGCCAGCCCTGCCTCCACTCCTGCTGCCTATCCCTGCCCTCCTCCCTCCACTCCAGCACTTCCCAAAGGAAGCCCTGAAACTGGACACCTCAGTGGAAAGGTCGGGGGGCCTATTTAAGATCAGCAGCCAGGCTGTGCTTTCTGTCCAGTAAAGGGGGAGGAGGAACGAGGAGATAAAACCTGGACACTAAAATTAACCTGGCCCAAGTGTGTAGTTTGGTCAGTTCTTAACCTTTCTCTAGCCTGGGCCAAGTCACTCTAGCACTTCGAAGACTGGGGTAGGGTGGGATGAGATGATATGGGGATAGAGGGTTTGAAAGAAAGGGACCAGAGAGAAAGAAGTTCAGAGCCTGTGAGCAGAGAGAGGCACGTAGGGGGATTATTCCTGTGCCTGGGAGCACTGCTTGAAGGAAAGCACTGAACTGTAAATTAATAAATTCTTTTTTTTTTTTGGTCCCATTAGCTCTAGGGGAAACTCCTCACCTCAGGAGCCTCTGCTCCCCACTTTTCCCAGATAGCTCTGGGAAAGGCAGGAGTCAGGCAGGGTCTACCCTAGGGTGGTGGGTGGGCACAGGCGGCCAGGCTGGCAGGGACAGGATGAAAGTGAAGCATTGTGTGTAGAAAGGAGAGCTGCCAGCTGGGTCACATGCCAGGCTCTCGTGCCATCCTGCCTCTGGCTGAAATGCTGAGGGTCTGCTGTCTGGCCCCCAACCCAGATCCAGGCTGCTCCAGGAAGAAGTTAGAGACCTTGTTGATTTTCACGGCAATATTTCTGCAAATTGTCAGAAACTCTGGAAAGAATGTCTAAATTTCTTACTCTATCATTCCCTCTAATTTCTTATGGTAAGATGTCTTGGATCTCATCCTCGCTGTGTTCCTTAGCTCACAACTCAGAAGCAGCCCGAGGGAGGGCTGGCAGCAGCCTCATTTACCAGCGGGGGCCCCCAACAGCTCCTGCCCCCTGGGTCTGGGAAGGTGCCCTTCTCATCAAATCCCTGATGTGCTGAGTCTACAGCTTTTCCTCCTTTTTTCTTTCTTTCTTTCTCAGATGACACATGTGACTTCATCTAGCTGTCCCCAGCAGGCATCCTGCCTTCTATTGTCTGCTGTCTCCACACCCCAATCCCTTGCTCTTTCAAGAAACTAATTCCACACCTACTGTGTGCTACCAGAGATACTGCACTAGACCATTTTTGTGTTTCCTGAGGTACAGAGGTACCCTAAAACGAAAAGGTACCCCTGGACCTGTCTCCCAAGGTGCCCCTATCTCCAGTGCTCCTGTAAGTCCTTTGTAAGCTGTAAGGGGCCACCCAGAGGTTGAGTATTACTGCTATTTCTTCCAGGGGAAAATTGGGAAATGAGTCACTCCATAGAGTTAAGGGTCGCCTCTGCTGTACAATGTTCAGCCAGAGACCAGGGCAGCTGTGGTGTAGGATTCCCCCCCCCCCCCCCATTAGCTCCAGATCTCTTTGGCTTGGTAATCACAAAGTTCCTAAGGAAAGAAAGCCAGGAGGGTCACCTGGGACTAGGGCTTTGAGGAAAGAGTTTTTCCTGCACTTGTGCGTGTACACACACCTTGTGCTCCACTCCCGCATACAGCAAGGCTGAAAAGGTGCAAGGAAAAGAAAGGGACCAGTCTCCACCATACTTTCCCCCATCCCTGAACCCATCAGTCCAGCCCCAGTGTCCTTTAACCCAAGCACACTGGGGATATGTGGACATTAGCCCAGACAGACCAACACACAGACATCCATTTGTACCTACCCCCGCCGGTAGCCAAGATCCAAGTCACCTCAAGCAGGAGGGCGAAGAACAACATGGTATCCCCAGCAAAAGCTACGGGCCAGGAGTTGGGGGACTAGAGGACTAGGGCAGAGAGAGGGAGTGAGGCAGAGAAAGAGACGCTCCTGGCGTTAAGTATGTTTATTTCTTTTTCTCTTCCTATCTCTGTCTCTGCAGAATTTGATTTTCAATTGGGTACAGTGGGTTCCTGGGTCCCAGGATAAATCACTTGCTGCCCCCTCTGTCTCTGCTCCCCTCTCTCTGTGTTCTTATCTACCTCTGCAGTCTCACTCCTCTGGCTGGCCGGCTGCACAATTGCCTTCTGCTTTTAAGGTGGCTCTGGACGGGTGCACGAGGGGAGGAGGGGGTGCCGGGCCGCTGGCGGGCAGCTCCTTAAATAGCCGATTAGGCATGCAGGACGGCCCTGCACCCGCGGAGCCTAGCACGGGCGGGCGAGGCGGCCCAGCTGGGGTGCGCTCTTCACTCTCAGCAGACGTCGTTAGGATGCGGGTCCCCTGGAGCCGGCGGGCAGGGAAGGAGGGCGTCGGGCCCAATCCAGCCCCTCCAGAGGACCCTTACGTTCCCCTTCGCCCGCTCGGGTGGGATGGTGTGGGGGCGCTCGCCAGGGGGCGTTCCCAATGCCCTGCAGGGTCCGCGCAGCCCTGGTGGAGGGGGGACCTGACGTTTGGCGACAGGTACGAGAGGGAGCGGATACTCCGGGTGCAGGTGGAGGGTCGGAGAGTAGGAGAAGCGGGCCGCGAGCGCAGTCCCGCGCGGCGCCTGTCGCCCCCTCCCCGCGGCGAGCCCCGGAGCCGCGTGCCCGCGGGGGGGGGGTTCGCTGGATAAAGCCCGTCTGTGTGCCCGGCGGGGGAGGGGCTGCCCGGCCCGCGGAGACGCGGCTCGAGCGCCGGCCCAGCCGCCCTCCCCTGGGAGCTCGATGTAGGGCGGCTTTTGTCACTGAAGAGGACACTGACCCCTCCGAGAGGCCGGCGCAGGAGGAGAGACCGAACAATCGCGGCGGCCGTCAGAAAAAGGCGGACTCCAGAGGGAGCGAGGGGCAGGGCCGGGGACCACGTGGCCCGGGTGGGAGAGGCGCGCGGGTCCGCCCCAGCCCTCGGGGGTCGCGGCCAACCCCGGCGAGCCGCCCCCCGGCCGGCCCAGTGAGCGCGGAGGCCGCGCTCAGGAATGCGCCGCGCTCCCCCGGGGGGAAATCCCGATCGGAATGCGCATCCCAAATCCCAGTCGGAGAAGGCGAAGCCCACAGATAATTTCCAGTTAGTCATTGAAACCTCTTTCTCCTCCATAACCTTCACCCGAGCCTCTAGCTGGGGAACGCAGCTCTGCCCTCCCCGCGCCTGCCGAGCAGCAATAAATAGCAATAAATAGCCTGAACGAGGGCGCAAAGGCTGAAGCCCGGCGCCAGATCAGAGCCAGCAAACAGAATAAAGTGCGCGCCGGCTCCTCGGGCAGGAGCTCGCTCCCCTGCGATTGATCCCCAAGTCTGCTTTGCAGATGTCATTTCTCTATTTTTCATCGACCTTCAAATTATTTTTCCTCTATGGAAAAGTTTTGTTTTAAGGTTTCTCACCAAAGCCCTATCCATCCCACATACCGAAGAAAAAAGATGTAAAGTGTAAATTAACTTCTTTGGAAGTAATGGTTAACACAGGAAAAAAATAATAAAGAAAAAAGAAAGCCATTAGACTGGCAGAGACATCATGGCAGGAAAGAGGAGGTCTGGACAGAGTGACCTCTGTCAGGACAGAGGTCCCTGCAGCGTTGGGGGCTGAGTGAAAGCAGGTAAGTGCGTCCCGCTGGCGCCACCTCCTGGCTTATCTGTGAATTTTAAATTTAAAGTATCGTGTGTGATTCGTTCTGGGACGTGCACAATTTGACGCTATTTCACAAACATGTCCTAGCGCCAAACGCGCCCTCGGCCTTGCCAGGCGCACGAGCTCCCGAGCGGACCAAGACTCCGGTTCCCGGGAGAAACGGAGAAGGGAGCGAGGCGCGGTCCTCCGGGGCTTCACTTCGTTTTGGTCTTGGCTTTCCTGCGGGTATTTCCGTTGTTGATTTCTCGCCATGCTGATTTGGAGTAGGTGTCAAGAGGCCATCAAGTTGCTCCTTCTTTATTTCTACTCAAATTCGGGCTACTTTGAATCCTAGGTCCACCTCTTAAGCTCCTTTACTTACCCTGGAGCTGGCAAAAAAAAAAATCCTACTTAAAACGGAAACGTTTCACTGCCTTCTGGCGCCATCTCCCGTTCTTGTAGACGCGGTGAAATGTAAATGTCAGAACCCAAAGCGTTCAAGTGTGGGGAACTTTTTGTCTGCCTTTTCAAAAAAGGGCCTAACCTAAATATTTATTTATTTAGTTTTGGTATTTTGAGATAGGTTCTCACTATGTGGATTAGGCTAGTCTTGAGTTCACTAATGTAGCCCACACTTCCTGCCTCAGCGTCCTGAGTGCTGGGATTACAGATGTGCACCAAGCCCAGTTTATCCTAAATACTTAAATTCACCAGCTGAAGCATTACAGGAAGCCACTTAGGACTCCAAGTTTGTATGGTGGCTCTCACCGGCACTGCCTGCGGGTTCGGGGGCCGGCAAGGACTGTGGGAAAAGGGATCAGTGTGGCCTGCGGGGTCCAGAGATGGAATTTGGGGTCCTGGCCCAGGTACCTTCTTTTTTTT